TTTAGCCCGGTCCGAAAATGGTGCAAAGTGTAATCTTTCATACTCCTTTTTAAGCCCAAATTCATGTAAAACTAATTCAAAAACAAGATAAACTAACTTTATTCAAGTGTAATTTCAACTCACACACATCAATCTTGCTTCAATGTCAAAATCAAGGTCTCATATTTTTGATAAATTCAAGAGTTACATAATCAAGCTCAAAATACATATAAACATGGATGATCTTTGCACAAATCTGTGATATGAACTATCTAGAGCTTATTTTATGAAATATTCACAAGATTGAACTCAAATCAAATAAGGTTAAAGAGATCAAGGCTCAATTTCTTGAATTTAGTTCAAACAATTACACAACCCAAAACCCTAACTCATATAGGTTAAAATCTCCAATTTCCTCTTGATTTCAAGCAAAAGATGAGTTATTTTACAAGGATTCTAGATAGATTTTCGTACCTTAGCTCAAATCTTGAGTTTTCCCCTTGAATCTGTCAATCCTCATGCTTCTCTTCTTCAACTCTAGGAGTTTTCTTCTTTCTCTCTCTCTAACTCCCTCTAGCAAATGTTTTGTTGATATAAAATGATCTCAAGACTTACTTAAGTCTTACCATCTATATACATACACCCATAACTTTGGCTAATTGAACTTAAATTAGTTTGATTTAGGTTTTAGGCTAATTAAACTTAATTAATTCATTACGAATTGTAATTTTACAAGATTTCACAGTAGCTTCTAAAAATCATCCTAAACACATATATGAAGTCGATTTTGATTTCTGGCTCCTCTACGGTTTTCAATTTTCAATTCAAAGTTGTAATTGCAACAGATTTTCCTACAAGTAACAGATATAATTCCAAAATCACATAAATCACATAATTAAATATGCAAATTCATATCAAACATATAATCACATTTATAATTAAGCACAATACGGATTGAGTTATCACAAGCATTATAAAGTTTTAAAGTTTTTTTTATTATTGATTTTTAATAATTTTTTTTTTTGTTGAAAATAACACTCTGATATTTTTCCAAACACCCCCCCAAGTTTTTCGATGTATCAGAATTAAGAAAGAAGCCTATTTATGTAGGATTTTGAATCATTACCATTTCTAGAAATAGGTAATGTTAATGTATATATTAAATTTAGATTTATACTTATATCCTTATATTGTAAATATAGCTTATCTTTATCTCTCTCTGTATCTCTATCTCTATCTCCTTCTATACTTATCTAGGTTTGTGTTCAGCCTATGAATATAGGCTTTCCTATTGTATTCAATTCAATTCATATAATGCAGATACACATTTTCCATATTTCTTTCAACCATTCTAACATGGTATCAGAGCACTAGGTTTTACACCTATAGCCTTTTTTTTTTTTTTTTTGTGCTTAGTGCCTTAGATAATAGCACTACAGCATTCATTCCATTACCCATACACTTTATTATCTTTGTTCTAGCATTGCTTTCCCGTTATTTTTAGACGATTCCAGTGACCATAAACACAAACCTGTGACAACCATCATCTTCTTCTCTTTCAAATGATTCTAGAGCCACCAACCGCACCCCAAAAGAAGTCTACATGCGCTCTCACGCTCCACTTCTTTATAGGCGCGTCATTCACGACGCCATCAGTATCCACACGCACTACCACGCGCTGATTGCCACACGATCACATGCCACGCATCTCTTACGCGCTCGTCCCTCTGCTACAATCGTCACTGACGTTAGCCCTAAGCACGTCAGTGTTATCACCATAGTACGCTACACGCGTTTGCTGCTATCGTGCACCACGTATCCTCCTACTAACGTGCATCGTGCATCTGCTGACACCTTTGCTACTATCATGCGCCGTGCACCCTCCTGCTAACATGAACCGCGCACCTGCTAATGTCATCTAGTCCCTACTGACATCATCACTGCACACCAGACCCCTTTTCGACCTTCTGGACTCACTTGCACGTTTTGTTTTGCTGATTTTTGCTCATATAGCATTGTTTTTCTCTATTTTACTTCACCAAACCACCGTTATGGATTGTCATGATGCTTTTCATCCAATCTCTGTTATCCTTGACGGCTCCAACTATGTGTTATGGGCCCAGGCCATGTCCGGCTTTCTAAAAAGGAAGAAACTCTGGCGCATTATCACTGGGGAGTAGTTTAACCAGTGAAAGAGGTTCATGAAACAGTTGTCACATATGTAGACCGTTTGGAGGACTGGGATAGTAAGAATTACCAGATCATCACTTGGCTTCGGAATACTTCTGTTACTTCGATCAGTTTACAATTTAATCGATTTCAACGTGACTCCGTAACTACTCCTGCCAAAGACATTTGGGATTTTTTAACAGAACGTTATCAGACTACTGGTCTTGCTCATTAGTATCAGCTTCAAAGTCAACTTCATTGCCTGCGTCAAGAGCCTGGTCAGTCTGTTAATGATTTTCTCTCTCAGATATATTCTGTTTGGGACCAGCTAGCTCTCTCTGAACCTGCCTGGCCTCATATTGAAGATGCTACTTTATTCACTCAGTATCGTAATCACCAACGATTGGTTGAGTTTCTCATGGCTCTCACTACCCAGTTTGAGCCCGTGTGTGCATCTCTGCTTCATCGCACTCTATTGCCTACTCTTGAGCAGGCTCTTTCTGAGTTATTATCTGAGGAGACTCGTATTGGCCCTCTGCAGACTCATCATGTGGATATAGTTCTTGTCACTCCGCAATCACTGAGTTCCTCTTCACCAACCACCCAGCGGCCCACTACTTGCAATTATTATCAGAATCGGGGCCTTCTTTCTACTCATCTTTTGTTTCATTGCCCAGTCAGATCCTGTCGATACTGCAACAAGATTAGTTCTGGTCATCTGTAACAAGATTGTTTTCGCAATCCAGACCGCTCATCTACTACTCGTGGGACTTTATCACGAGGTCATTCACAACATCTCAAGAATCAGTCTAGATCTCTGCCTGCTCATCGCACTGTTGCTGCTGCATCTGAAGAATTTTCTGAGCCTTTAGATTTAGTCACTCCTATCTTTTTCCAAACCGATGTTGAAGCCATGTTCAAATAGTTTCTCACCACCTATGGTACACCTCCTTCTACTTCTCTGTCTGTGACTTCAGGTACATCTCCCTGGTATTTTGACTCAGCATGTTGCAATAATATGACTTCTAGTTCTATCTTATTTTCTTCTATTTCTCCATCTTCTTCTATTCCCTCCATTCATATTGCGGGTGGTTCTCTTATGTCTGTAAGTTATATTGGTTCTGTTTCCACCTCTCATCTATCCTTATCAAATGTTTATCTTATTCGTGCTCCCACTTTAAATCTTATTTCTATTAGTCAATTATGTGAGCTTGGTCGAACTGTCACATTTTCTACTAATGGTTGTTTGGTACAGGACCCTCAGACGGGAAATACTCTTGAGATTGACCATAAGCATGGACGTCTCTATGAGCTCATTTATCTTCATGTTCCAAACTCCACTCCGATAGCTGCTCCTACATCTGCTTCCAGCATGTCTCCTTTTAATATTTGGCATTGTCATTTAGAACATATTTATGTTAGTCGATTAAAATCTTTAGTTTCTACTGGTCAGTTAGGTCATGTCATTCCCAATACTTTGGATTGTTTATCTTGTCAACTTGCAAAACAACCTGCCTTATCATTTAATGCAAGTACTTCTGTTTCTCATGCACCATTTGATCTTATCCATTCTGATATTTGAGGACCATCACCTACTACCACTATGGGGGGATTATGTTACTTTGTTTTCTTTGTTGATGATTTTTCACATTTTACGTGGTTATTTCTTATGAAAAGTTGATTAGAACTTAAACAACTCTATTAGAATTTTGCAAGCATAGTCCAAACCCAATTTTCTAAAAACATAAAAAAATTTCGATCTGGTAATGCTATGGAATATAAGGATCTTGATTTTCTCTTTTTCTTTCAGCGTCACGGTACTTAACCTTATCATTCTTGTGCTAGCACGTCCCAACAAAATAGTCGTGCTGAACGGAAGCATAGGCATATTCTTGGCATTACTCACGCCCTTCTTATCTCTTTCTTATGTCCTGAATATATTTTGGGGGAAGCTGCTCTTACTATTGTTTGCACCATCAATTGTGTTCCCACTCCTACTATCCATAACCAAACTCCTTATGCCCGTTTACATGGCACTAGTCCTCCATACACAAATCTTCGGGTTTTTGGGTTTGCATGCTTTGTTCTCCTCTAATCTCATGAACATACCAAACTTGAACCCTGTTCTCATCTTTGTTACTCTCTTGGGTATGGAATTGAACATAAAGGCTATCGTTGTTAGGATCCTATCTCTAAACGTCTTCGTATCTCTCGTCATTTGGTTTTTTGGGAGCATAAAATGTTTTCATCCTTATCCTTGTTCTACTTATCATCATCTTCTACTTCTATTTTGTTTACTAATCCTTCTATCAATCTTTTCTCTAATGCCTTTGATGCAGGTTCCTCCTCTTTAGAGACTCTTTTGCCTACACCTGATCCTGTCCTGACTGCTCCCTCTGATGGTCCTATTGAGTCTCCTATCACCTTACCAGATCCTCCTCCCACCGGTCGTCCACATCGAGTAACTCAACCACCTGTTCATCTTCGTAATTATATTGTCGGGTCTACTACCTTTTCTACTTATGAACCTACTTTCTATCGTGAGGCTTATACTAATCCTCTTTGGCAGGAAGTTATGACTGATGAATTACAGGTTTTAGACAAAACTCATACCTGGGATGTTATTGATCTTCCTTTTGGAAAGATTACTATTGGCTGCAGATGGGTATACAAAATCAAGACCCATTCTGATGGCTCTATTGAGTGCTACAAAGCCCGTCTTGTTGCCAAGGGCTTTACCCAGGAATATGGCATTGATTATGAGGAGACTTTCGCTCTGGTTGCTCGGCTTACCTCTGTGCATAGCTTACTTGCTATTGCTGCTGCTCGCCACTGGGATCTCTTTTAGATAGATGTCAAAAATGCTTTCTTTAATGGTGATCTTCTTGAGGAAGTCTATATGCAACCTCCCCCTGGGTCTACTTATTCGACTCATAAGGTTTGCAAACTACAATGTGCTTTCTATGGTCTCAAGCAAGCTCAATGAGTGTGGTTTGCAAAATTTAGTTCCATTATCCATGATTTTGGCTTCACCTCTAGCTCATACGACTCCAGTCTATTTGTTCGAACCACTCCTCCTGGCACCACTCTTCTTCTTTTTTACGTGGATGATATGATTATCACCGGTGATGATGTGGCTGGTATTTTTAGCCTCAAACAATTTCTTAATCGTCAGTTTGAGATGAAGGACCTTGGTACTCTTAATTATTTCTTAGAGCTTGAAATCTCTCATGATTCCAATAGTTATTATTTGTCACAAGCCAAATACGCATCCGATCGTCTGGCATGTGCTGGTCTTACCGATTGTAAGACTATCTCTACTCTTGTTGATCCTCAGACTCGTCTCATTCCTCTAGATGGGGATCTTCTCTTTGATGCTACTCTTTATCGGCTGCTGGTCGGTAGTCTTGTCTATCTCATTGTGATTCGTCCTGACATTGCCTATGTTGTCCATCTTGTTAGTCAGTACATCTCGGCACCTCGCACCCCGCATTACACTGCTCTAGTTTGCATACTTTGCTACCTTAAAGGCACTATGTTCCATGGATTTCACTATTTTGCCCACTCTTCTCTCAAGCTTCATGCCTTTTCTGATGCTGATTGGACTGGGGATCCCACTAATCGACGCTCCACCATGGGTTTCTATTTCTTCTTAGGAGATTCTCTTCTTACTTGGCGCAGCAAGAAATAGTTCCTCACTACTCGCTCTAGTACTGAAGCTGAATACTGCGTTCTTGCTGACACTACTCCGGAACTTTTATGGCTTCGTTGGCTCCTTGTTGATATGGGTGTTTCTTCCCTTAGGGCCACCTCTCTCTATTGTGACAATCAGAGTGCCATTCAGATTGTTCACAATGATGTCTTCCATGATTGCACCAAACTTATTGGGATTGATTGCCATTTCATCCAACAACATGTTACATGTGGCACGTTCATCTTCTTTCTATTTCTTTTACTGATCAACCTTCTGATATTTTCACCAAGGCTCATCCTCCTAGTCGTTTCATTGATCTAGTTTCCAAACTCAAGTTGGTTGATGCTTACCCATCTTGAGTTTGAGGGGGGCTGTTAATGTATATATATTAAATTTAGATTTATACTTATCTCCTTGTATTGTAGATATAGCTTATTTCTATCTCTCTCTATCTCTATCTCTATCTCCTTGTGTCTCTATCTCTATCTCCTTTTATACTTATCTAGGTTTGTATTCAGCCTATAAATATAGGCTCTTCTATTGTATTCAATTCAATTCATGTAATACAGATACACCTTTTTCATATTTCTTTCAACCATTCTAACAGGTAAAATGAGGGTTGAAATTTTAAAATTTTCAATATCCTTCTTATATATATATATTTCAACCACTTAATAAAGTGGTGGTTGGATATTGATATTGTGAAAACATGTTACAAAAGTTATTAAAAAATTATATATTTTTTACACAAAGTTTGTGTCAATTTATTTCAATTTTTTTTTAAATAATATATTTGTGCGATGAAGATTGAATTGGTATAAAATGGGATTTAAGTATAACCTTGTTTGGAAACATGCTATTTTAGTAATTTTTTGATTTTTTTAAATTAAAATATGAAATAAAAAATTAATATATTTGTGATAATTTTTTGACTTTTATGAAAAGATGTGCAAAAAGTGAAGAGAAAAAAAAAATCTTTAATTTTTTGGTATAGGTTGTTGGCTTTTTAATTTTTTTAGTGATTTTTTAACTTTTAGGCTAAAAGATTGAGTTTCCAAACGAGGAATTATAAATTAATATCTTTGAAATAATTTTTTTTTAATTTATAATATTTTTGATTTTTTTTGGAGAGTTATATATTAATGTTTGAAATAATCTAAATAAATATATATTTTTGATTTTTATGAAAAATGTGTAATGTGATATAAAATATGATATGATTTAAATAAGAAATAATATGACCTAAATAAAATTTAAAAATTAAAAAAAAATGTACTAAAATAACCTATGCTAAGGGTTGTTTGGGAAGTTAGTTAAAAGTTAATTTTTTTTATATTTTTTTAAAAAATGTGTAAAAAAATAATATAACCCAAAAAAATTTAAAAATTGCCTTTTCACTAACTTTTCAAAATAAACCTAAATAGATATGCATCTTTAAAAGTGAGATGCATTACAACTGGCATATATAATAAGTACAAATGTGAAATGATAGTAGGAAATGAGGCTTGCAGCTGGTTTCTTGTGCTCCTCAGAGGGGTTTAGTCTTCTCATATACGATATCCCCACAGTTCGGAATCCCATAGTTCTGAATTTGATTTCACAATTGCAATGTGAAAAGAAAAAAAAAAAAAAAACAAATGAGCCTAAATCCAACAAATCTTTGAAAAATCCATTTACAATAAGAAATGCCAAAAACGGACTGTATTACCAGATTTTAGAGTCACCACCTAAATATTTTTGAAAAATTTAGGAAACCCATAACTTGTGCCAAAGGCCACTTGTCCATCATAACTAAAGTTTCTTGGCTCGAGAACTTAGGTATGAGAGGGGAAGGTCATGAATTGAGCACCCTATTCACCCGATCAAAGGTCGGCCTCTACTAATCATGATATGATTTTTATGTACATTATATACTCTTATTCTGATTATTAATGCTAACTTACTATGTGAGGCATACAAGCATAGACTATTTCTTCCACTTTGGAATGCTTTGATTTCATGTTTGTTTGAAAGACTTTTAAATATGTGCTACTTGGAAAAGTGAGCTCATATGTACATTAATTAAAATCATCCTTATTTAAGCGAAATAACATTCATCCACCAGCATTCAAGGGGTATATTAGATAAGCACTTAGCCTCATGGTAATATGTTTGATATGGAAACACAGACATATATGCAATATGCTAAAGCAAAAAAACTCACCTAGTACTCATCCAAGGCAAGCCGAAGGAAATTAAATAATAGTTAGAAAAATGCATGCTCTAATATTCAAAATGACTAATGCAACTATCAGATTCGGCTCCTTAACATGACATGTGGATCAATTCAAGGCATATGGTACCGCATGTATTTGAGTGTGATGAGCCAAATCCCAATGTATGGAAAAATGGATGCAAGTCATGGTAATGATATGAGACCAAAAAATATGATACTACATGCAACCATAGTAAGAAAATAAATAAAAGGGAGAAAGAAATGGACGTTGGAAGCCATAGACAATATTACAAGTGTTACAATTTGGCCATCGCACAAGAGGGTCCGAATGAATGTCCTAATTAAACTAATTATTACAAACACCAAATGAATAAACTAAATTAACTAGCTATTGCAAATTATAATGAAATCAACTAATTAATTTATAGCACACTAAGTATTAAAGCACTAATTTAAAAGACTTAAATGGGAAACGAGGACTCGTACACACGTAATCAAGAACATCCTCCCGGAAACCTCTTTGTTTGCTGCCAAATTCTATTCTGTTTGCAGTCAGAATATAATTCTATTTTTGCCTCAGCTTCTACTCTGTTTTGCCACAAAAATACCACTGCCTGTACAAAGTGGTGGTCGGTTGGCCTTGGAAAGTGGTCGGCCGTACGAACTAGTGGCCGACCGACCACTGCTTTTGAGAACTGCCCTCCAGCCACAAAATCAAAACTATAATAACCTCGATCCGTAATTAGCTACTGATCCGTATTTAACGATGCTAATGAGAGAATTAAAATAACTTATGTGTTTATTTTGTGTTTTCCACGATTTTGACTTTCTATCTGTTACTTATAGAAATATCTGTTTGGAATTCCACTTTAATATGTAAATTGAAAGCTTTATCGGCGGCCGAATCTGAAATTGATTAATGTTTCATGCTAAGTGGAATTTATGGGATTTTATGGTAGATTTAATTAAAATCCGATTTGGTACAATTCAATTAGATTAAATAAGTTAATTGCATTAGTATGGCTTTATTACCAAAGTGCCATTAAGTGGACTTTGCTAGGCCAATTGTATAGCCTTGATTCACATGTGTAGCAACATGTTGTTCATTTCACCTGGAGCAAACTGTATAGAAAAGAGTGAGAGAGGAGAAAACTTGGCTTCAATTGAAATTTGCTTGGAGACTTAGGAGATTGAAGGGTTCCTTGCATAATTGAGCTTCCATTCTTGAAATTGAAGACCTAAGGTAGGATATTTATGAATTCAAGTCATTTCTTGCATGATTCTTGGAGGAATAAGAGCTTAAGGTCAAGAATTAGTTTTAAGTGTTGAATTGAGTAGGAATTCATGCATGCATGTGTACATTGTTGAGTTTTGAGGTTGATTTCTTGGAAAGCCTCACATGCATGTCCATGTTCTAGCTTTGGTCCATGAATTCAGCATGTTTTTGGAAGTTTAAACTCATTTGATCTTGTATTAGAAGCTTTGAGTTCAATTGAATTCATGCATGTTACATTTAAATTATGTTCTTGAAGTTTTTCTTGAAATTGTGTTAATTGATCTACTCTTGGGCTTTGATTTTGCAAATTGATCTTCAAAACATGTTATATTATAAGTTTACAAGTGTTTTCCAAAAAATTAGCCCAAGAGGTTCGGATTTAATGCATTTAAAGTTGATTTTGAGCTTGAGGTTCAAATATGAAAATTCCAGATTTTGGACTCACGCTCGAGCGGGGAACTCCACGCTCGAGCGTACACACTGAGTTCATGCACTCCGCTCGAGTGGGTAAATTGACGCTCGAGCGGGAAATGCATGTATCCAGTATTTTGCATGTGTTTACAGTCCACTCGAGCGGGGGAATGCACGCTCGAGTGAGGACTTATGTCTCACGCTCGAGCGGGTATCGAGCGCCCATCGAGCGTGAATTTCGTGCATCCAGTACTTTTACAGTCCGCTCGAGCGGAGGAATCTACGCTCAAGCGGAGCCTTTTTGTCTGCATGACCGCTCGAGCGGAGTAAGCCACGCTCGCGCGGAACCCCTGTTTTTCTGAAAAATTTGAAAAGTGTTTCTAAGTGCATCTTTGCATCCTCATTCCATCCTAGGCATTCCTAGGCCATGTTTAAGACTCTATAGTGAGGATTTAAGGTTAGAAACGCACTAAGAACCAACGACATAAGTTTTGTGCAATTAGAACGTATGTTTCAGGTGTGTGTCCGTTGTGTGTTATGTAGGTCATGTGCCACGGGTCGTGTGATCAATCTGCTCCGTCCGTCTGTCTGTCTCAAGGCCCACTGTGAGTAATAACTCTGTAAAGTTATGTTTAACCTAAGTATTTTCTAACTGGTATGGTATAATTTGTTTTCTGAAATGCTATCTTATGAATGATGAATGAATGTCCAATTTTCTGAAAAGTATTTGTGGCACCCTTAGTTCATGTGGCCCTCGCCCGGGGGTAACAATACCATGGCCAATCTGCATGTGGCCCTCGCCCGGGGTTAACAATACCGCGGCCAATCTGCACATGGCCCTTGCCTGGGGGTAACAATACCATGGCTACTTGTGCGTAAGATATGGACCTTTATGGTCGTTGGTACCAACTATGTATGTGGGTCTCTGGACCAATCTGATCTGATAGCTAATGGGTGTACCACGTATGAGCTTATGCAAAATCTGAATATGAACATAAATGTATATCTGAATCTGTTTCTGATTTGAAGTCTGGATATGTTCTGATTTGAGTACTGCATCTTAACTTGTGCTGGACATTATTCATATTATGTATG